CATTTTCCCCCTCCTGGATTTACATTTGACTGAAAACCCAACATTTCAATCGATCTCTTTTACAAACATAACGCAAATTGTTCAAATGTTCCAATAACTGTTCAAATGTTAAAATTCAAATGTTCAAATGTCAAATGTTAAAATGTTCAATCTGTCAGATTTAGACTTAAAATTCTCTGACTAAACAAATCATGAACTGTTCAAATGTTCCTACAAGTGTTCATGATGCAAATCTTTACGACCATAGCTAGTTAGCTCACTGTTCCGTCCGGTCACTTAGTAATCTTCAAATTCCAACGGTGAAATTCTGGAAATTGGTCTTCGTTTCACCCCTCCTTTGGTTCTAACGTCTACGACTCGTACTAGTCCATCTTTACCAGGATGCACTGCCTCTATTCGTCCAAGCTTCCAATCCCGTCTTGGTGCGTCTGGATCAATTACCAACACCACGTCCCCCACTGTTAGATTCTTTGAAGGTTGGAACCACTTTTGCCGGGATCCAATACTTGGCAAATACTCTCTCATCCAACGACTTCATACTCTACAAATCAGTTCCTGTATTCGTCTCCATCGTCTACGCACACTGACTGCCGTCGTATCGACTGTCTCTGGGGCTAGCTCTCCACCCATTTGGCCAATTAAGAAATGGTCTGGGGTCAGCACAGGCTCGTCATTGACATCTCCACTAACTGTACTTAAAGGCCTCGAATTTGGGCTCCAGTAAACACGGTTTGTAATTCTTCATCATTGACACCAGCTCCGTTCAAAATTGCATAAATTGCCCTCTTGGCTGACTTGATCATTCTTTCGAAGACACCGCCAAAGTGTGGCGCTTCCGGTGGGTTAAACTGCCACTCAATTCCTTGGTTGGAAGTAAGCCTTTGAACTTTGTCTTGGTCCATGTTATCCACTAACTCCTTGATGTCTCGTGCTGCTCCGACGTAATTACTTCCATTGTCACTGAGCATCAACTTAAGCCACCCTCGTCTAGCCACCATACGCGTCAGCGCATTTAAGAAAGCATCCGTCGCCAGGGAAGCAGCCATTTCCAAATGACAACAGTGTGTCTGTAAACACAAATAAGCAAAGGTAGCGCTTTACTCGTGGTCTACTTCGTCCTTGCATCGTGTAGAATGGTCCTGCAAAATCTGTCGCACAATTTGCAAATGGTTTCTGAGTCATCTCTAATCGAATTCTAGGTAATGGTGCGATTTGTTGTTGTGCTGGACAGCCCCTGAATCTTCGGTTACATTCCGCACATTCCTTGATACATTTCTTCACTTGTTGTCGTCCTTGAATCACAAAGTACTTCTCTCGTAAATGGTTTAATGTAAAGTTCACTCCCATCTCGTGACCTTCCATCTCATGGTGATACTTCACGATTAACTTGGTAACAATGTGATTCTTTGGAAGGATGATTGGAAACTTCGTCTCTTCTGGCAAATCATCTGAATATCGCAGTCGCGTGTTTCATCGAAGGAGTCCCCCACAGAACTTTGGTTTAATCTATAGTAACGTACTCTTACTAGGGAGAGGCTTGTTGTTTTCAAGTGCTCTTATCTCGTCAGGAAAGCACTTTTGCTGAGCCGCCCTGATGATTTGCTCTTCTTCTTGATTAAGTTCCCTTGGGTTCAACTCCCCACTTTCTCGATCGTTTTGAGGATTTTTGACATTTGCTAACAATCGATTAATCCAACCAGTCACCCGCACCAAAGACATTCCGATCTCCAGCTTTCCTTTTGGCTTGGTTCTGTACCATTTTGAATACTCCATTGGGTCTGGTGTGCTCTTTGGTTTGACTGTTTCCACGTAATAGCTCTGTGCATTCATGCTTAGCTCCTTTTCCACGAGTTGTTCTTGTTTCTCTGATTTAACTTCTTTGTAAGCTTCTGGGGGTTTTCCAAATTTCCTCTCCGGCCACTCATCTTCTCTACGTTTTAGAAACGGGGGTCCATACCACCAGCAGTCATCCTTAACTAGCTCTTGAACTGAAGCTCCTCGAGTCCCTTGATCCGCAGGGTTGAGTTTCGCAGGAACGTACCGCCATTGGTTTGGACTGCTCTCGTCATGAATTTCCCCAACCCGGTGGGATACAAAAGGTTTAAGTGCTACAATCTTAGCTTCCACACTACCGTCAACACTCTCAAATCCAATAGTGAATGTCATCGATGGAAAACGAACTTCCTGATCATTAGCAACGTTCACAGTTATCAGCCCTTTCTCCCCTTTGACTCCGAGCTCCTCAACTACATCTTCATTAACATATGTAGTGTCACTTCCCTCATCCAAGAAACAATTGACAAGAATTCTCTTCTTACCATGTTTCAAGACTGCTGGAACAGTTCGCAGTGCCACTTTTTCTGCTTTCTGTATTTTTAGCGAAGTTGAATTGGTGTTAGCATCCCCCTCCGTGCTAAGCCCGCCGCTTTGTTCTCGAGTTCCTTGTGACAGAATGTTGTCATCTCTGTTTGACTGGATTTCCCTTCTTCCTTGAATTGTCCTGGCCAACTGAAGCTGGGTTGACTGGGACTTGGCTCCCTGAGGCCGTGTTCCTTGAGGCTGAGTTTCTTGAGGCTGAGTTCCCAGGGGTCAAGACTGAGAATTGTTTCCATTTCGATTCCCATGTAACAACCGGTTGTGTCGGTCCCTGCAACCATCAATGTTACACACTCTACTTCTTGGGCACTCCCCTCCCAGATGATCATCACCCAAACATCTGTAACAGAGTCCTAGTTGTTTCGCCGTAGCCCATTTTTCCTGAATTTTTCTACTTTTAAAGACATCGCAATTCCATACAGCATGGCCTTCCCCACATACTTTGCATGTTCCACTCTTTTTGTCATCAGTTCGGTTACTTCCAAAAGACTTACTTCTTCTGTTGTGAAATTTGCCGCTTGAATTTCCTGATTTTAAACCATGTTTAATTTCAGTTGCTTGAATCTGATATTCAGCTTCTTCTGCAGTCCAATCTTTGAGTGTAAATAGAGACTCGACCCTT